GTATGTTCTACAATAATTTCACTGTTAGTTTGATTAAATTCCGCTTCTTATACGTTTAAGTTATCTAAAAATAGGCAAAAAATTAACGAATTTTAGTGTGTACCTATCCTTGAATTTTCAGAATAATTTAAAAAAAAAATATTTTCTAAGAAAATCAATGCAGGCACTTATTCCCAATGCGGGCATTTATTGTTCAGACACCGATAAACATAAAATAAACTATAAATAAAATAACATAAGCAATAAGTCAATATTTTTAGTGAGAATGATGAACCTGATGCTTTAATAATAAATTATCAACATTTGGCGTCAATTTTGTAAGGGTTGTAAGTCCTTCGTTTGTACTTAGTTCAGTCAGTTCCTCTTGTATTATGACATTCGTTTCTTCTATGTCAGCATATGGATTAATTATACTCGGTGATATTACCATAGTCAAAATATCCTGAAACCTAGATTCAAAATCTGAATAGAGGGCACTTAAATGTTGAACGTAAGTTGAAACGTCGTCTTCCTGGCAGCTTGTCCGTGACAAATTGGGGAACTGAGAAAATTCGCCCCGTCCAATATTTTGCTTCATTAGTTTAACTCTGGCAAGAAACGCTGATAAGATGGACTTTGTTTTAATCAAATTTAAACTGTTGCCTTGTAACTGCAAATTAACCATATTAAATTTTGTAAACAAATCTGTTTTCCTCTTCATTAAATTTTCTTTTAAAATTTTATCTTTAGTATCCAGAAATTCTAAAATAGTCTCAAAAGGTTCAAAAAATCTTGTCAAACATAAGCCTTTCGACAGCCAGCGTACTTCAGTGTGAAGGAGTAATTGATGAAAGTGTTCGTCATTTTCTTCACACAACTGCGCAAATAACCACGTATTCAACGCGTTGCTTCGGATTCGGTTTACTGCATCAATGACTAAATGAAGCGAATCATGCAATCTAACACTCAAATTTTTAGCAACCAAATGTTGTCGATGGATGAAGCAATGTATTGCTAACACCCCTGACACATTTTGTTTTAAATAGCTTATAAATCCACGATAACGTCCAACCATGGCAAGTGCTCCATCTGTAGCTACTGATATTATATTTGATAAAGGAATTGCTTTTTTAATGACTCAATCCTTCAAAACATGAAATATTGATTCACCTTCAGTGTCGGTTATCAAAGTTCTTGCGAAGAACTTCGTAGATTTCTTGATTCATAATAATACGTACATATGCCAATAATAATGCTGCATTATCAGGTAAAGTTGACTCGTCCAGTTGTATAGAGAAATGGGTCGTTTGCAAATAATTACATAAGAAGCTTTCAATATCAGAACTCATTTCATCAATACGTCTTTCAACAGTATTGTTGCTTAAGGAAATTCTTTTAATGATATCAGATGCAGGTTTGTGTAAAACAGTTTTTAAAACCTCTTCAACGGCTGGCAAAATTAACTTCTCTCCGATAGTATGCGGTTTTCCGGATTTTGCTATAAGTAACGAGATATTGTAAGACGTGTCCGCAAACCATCATCATTTCTTTGTGACATCGAAGCGAACATTCTGTCCAGTGTAGGTCTCTTCTGAAATTTTTGTCCGAAGAGGAAATCGGTCAAACAATTAAACTGACTGGTTAGAAGCATGTCATTTTGGAAGATCAGGCTATAGAAGCGCATTGATGCTGTAGGAGAATACTTTGAACATAAATAAAGTAGTTTTCGAATAATACTTTTTGGTTTTCGACTATCTCAAAACATATAGCGTGGCCCCTCGTATCACATATCATGAATTGGACTGGCGCCAATTTACGGTCCGTTCATGAACATTGAAGTTGAGTTGCGTTGAAAATATACAAAATCTGGATTACAAAACTTCACGCAACACAAAGATACCTATATCGCTCGATTGCAAGGTAACATCGAGTTATCTCGCAACGCTAAACTCTCATAGCCATCTCCATTAAATATTTTTCGCGGGTTGCCAGAGGTGCGCGGACGAATTCTGGCAACCCGTAGCTGAGCGAGTTTGAGTTGGAACGGTGGCACAGGCCGTCTGTTACGCGGAAGTATCGGTGTGGTAGGGATTAACAAAGAGCCGTAGTAAAAGAATAAAGAGTAGTCTCCAAAAAGGGTAAGGGGCCTACTGAAATTCATCAAATTATTGTGGTGAATGTTGGAGGATATGCAGTTGTTGATGATGTAGTCAAACGCTGATACCTCGATGTTCAGTGTGGAAAAACAACTTGTGAAGACCAACATAATAGTGGGTCATCTCTAACGATGTAGATTGATCAAAACATTGTAAATATGCTGTTACAAGACGGACGTGTAGCATTACAGGGAGTTCACGTTCCATGAAAATAATGTTGTTTTCATCCTGAGAGCTATTCCAATATAGCAAAAGCTAGCGATATATGCATAACCGTCGGGATATCCCATGAACGGGAAAACTTTTCTAGAGCGCCTACTTCACCGAGTCCCAATTTATGTTCACTTTATTTTTGTTGATTTTGTTTACACTTTTCATTCGGAAAATTCACTCTTCTACGAACTTTACTTCATTCAAGCGTATTCTATGTGTTTATTTGCATTTTTATTTCTGTCTCTCAATTATTTTTATTTTCACTTGCGAGGTCGGTCTCCATTCCTGCGACGACTACATTCTGAGTTGTTCTACCTCTACCTTTCATTTAATTCGACTTTATTTTTAACCCTTTTTTTATTTGCCAGAATCTTGCAGCAAGCTCCTGCTCCCCTCGAACAATAAACAGACATAAATAAACGACCTTCGTTTTCTGTTTCAGTTTTTTTTTATTACACGGCTACTGACGAGGAGGAATTGTAATCGCAAATTTCGATGCTGAGATATGTTTTTTTTGGATGTTATATGACATGTAGATTGGAAAAACCATGCCACTCATTTCCGTCTGCCTGTCTGTTTGTCGGTCTGTTCGCTAATCCTTGACCCGTCTATAACTCGGAAAGCATTTCTGGGATTTTAATGGAATTTTCACACAAAATTGCTGGGCCAGTAAGAAACGAAAAAAAAAAATGCTCAAGCTTCGCTTTTTGACGTCATCACTTTCGAATAAATTTTTGTGGGGACTAAAAATTGTAAAAACTGAAAATTTGAGGTTACAGGGTGTTAGGGAGTGTAGATCTCATTTTTTTATGCTACGAGGGATGTCTTTTAAGTTTTGCATATAGAAACATAGTAGGCCGCGCGGATCCAACGTCAGTACTGAATCTTAACCTCACTCTTTAGTAAACTTAAATTCAAAGTTTCACCATAATGTGTTCTCACTACAGTGAATTTTTAAGTGTCACCAAGTCATTAGAAAAATGGAACTCAACCGAGAACATTTTCGCGCCATAATTTATTACAACTTTAAGAGACAATTATCGCAACAAAAATGCCTTGTTGAGTTACTGTCTGTTTTCGGCAACAAAGCGCCACATCAGTCGACAATTTCCCGTTGGTATGGAGAATTCAAACGTGGACGGGTGGGTCCTAGCGACAATCCCAGGGTGGGTGCACCAAAAACAGCAGTCACCCAGGAAAACGTCGATGCTGTGCGCAAACTCATCATTGAAGATAGACATGTGACATATCGCGAGATTGAGGCATCCTTGAAGATCTCAAACACCTCAATTCAAAAAATTTTACATGAACAATTAGGAGTAAGAAAACTAGTTTTTCGTTGGATACCCTTCCTGTTGACTGAAGAGCAGAAAGCAGCCAGGCTTAATTGGTGTCAAAAAAAGCTTGACCGTTTCAATTCCGGAAACTCAAAAAATGTGTACAGCATTGTTAATGGTGATGAATCGTGGATTTACTGTTATGAACCAGAAAATAAACGACAGTCGGCTGTTTGGGTGTTCCAAGGTGAAGAAAATCCGTTCTCGAAGTGTTTCGAAAAACATGGTCGCGACATTAGTATCAAAAGCGGGTTATATTGCAACAATTCCTCTCAATGAGCAAAGAACTATTACTGTGGATTGGTATGCCACCATTTTTTTGCCAAAAGTCATCACCGAGCTTCGAAAAATCAACACAGAAAGAAGAATCATCCCCCACCAAGACAATGTAAACTCGCACACAGCCCAAAAAACAAGGCAGTATTTAACAGAAGAAAACGTGGAATTATTGGACCATCCTCCATATAGTCACGATCTAAGTCCTAACGATTTCTTTACTTTCCCGAACATTAAGAACAGACTGCGTGGTCAAAGGTTCCAGTCACCAGAAGAAGCAGTTGACGCATTCAAAAATGCCGTTTTGGATCTGCCAGCAAACGAGTGGAATAAGTGCTTCGAAAATTGGTTCGAGCGCATGCAGATGTGTATTAATCTTCGTGGAAAATACTTCGAAAAACAATAAAGTCATTTAAAACTACCTACCGTGTTGTTTTATTTCCATATGCAAAACCTAAAAGGCATCCCTAGTATCTCCTTATACGCCCCTTCTGTAATTCTACGCACCTACTGAATATATTCCACACATCGTACGAATGTTGGTGAACGAATGTTTTTGTACGCGTTTCTGCTTCTGCTCTCTGGGTTCACCGGCGGACATGCCAGCATCGATAGGTATCCAGCCATTACTGGTGTAGTGCCGTGCTGGCGCGTCGTATGGTCAGATATGTAGGAGGGGGGACAATGCCAGATGGACGGTACTACCTACCGGACAGGAAAAGGATGTCTGACTAGTTGTATGTCCCTTTCGCCGTTACTCATGTTCGTACCTAGTGTTTTTTTAAAATATATAGATAATCTTTAGCAATGATGAAGTAAGCGTTGCGTGGGAACTGCAGATTCAACCGACTTGACGCCATTTTTCCTCCTCCTAGAATCCTGCTGCGAGGACCTGCTCTTCTCTAAGAACGTCCCCACGCAGGCATTTCTGAGATGCTTCGACAAAGATCTCCCTGCCACAGCCTTTATTTTTATTTATTTTGTGCTATTTTTGTTGACTTTTTTATTTTATTCTCCTATGTTCTTATTCCTTTGTCAGAATCCTGCTGCGAGGTCCTGCTCCCATCCTGCGACGACTACAAACTGGTGTTCCTGAGCGGCTCCGACGACGACAGTTCCTCCACAGCTTCGGGCTGCTTCCCTGTGGACGAGTGCGACTGGGACTACTTCGAACCTTCTCCGGCAGGTGGCGTCCGGTTGCTCAGAGATGGGTACTGGGCGTCACCACCGTGGGGGAGTCCCAGGGGAAAAAGAAGGGGCGGGTTGGACAGTCCGGTGGGATCGCCTTTGGTGTACAGGAGGTTCGTTTTTGGGTTTTTCTTAGTGCGGTGGTGGTGCTTTGGGTTTTGGTGATGGGGCGTTTAGAAACTGCAAACTGATTTATAGGATATCTAGGATTGCAGAAACCATAGTACGAGCCCCTTCCAACTTCCGTTGGCCCAACCATTGAAATCTTAGTTTTTTTCTTATCAAACACAAATAATAAAAATGTAGCAGGGTATTATAGGTTTAAAATATTAACAATGATATTTTGATAATATATAGTAGAAAACACCAACTTTATCACTCCCTAATCAAATTTGCAGCAAAAAATAACACATGTTGCAATTATAGCATATCAACCTATTTTCATTTCAATGCAAAATAAGACTATAACGCATAGGTGGCTGTGAAAAATAAAAGCAATGACAATTGTTTTTATTAATCATAGCTGTCAGAATACGTTTAAAATAGTTTTGGGTAGTTAAGGTTTTCAAAATGAGTAGAGGAAAGCTTACTAGTGAGAAAATTCGGTTACTGATAATTAAATTTTTTAATTCTGAGAAATCAAACTCAGAAGTTGCAACTTTGTTAGACTTATCGCGGTACAGTGTGAGAAATATTGTTAGAAGATATAACGTAACTGGTTCAGTTAATATTAAGTCACGATATGTGAAAAAAAGTGATATCATAAATGTCGACCGAAGAGCATTAAGAAGGATAATCGTGAAAAACAGGCGTGCCAATTATTTACAATTAAGTGCTCTGTGGAGTGACGCTGTTGGAAGCAGAATTTCGAGGTCCACAACTCATAGAGAGGCCTACAAACTGGGATTTAGCACTTGCAAGGTAAGTTTTCTTATAAAAAAAAGTGAAGTAAAACCCTAAAGTTGCACAACATGTTTATAGGCCAAAGAAAAGCCACTATTAACTCCACTGCAAAAGAAAAATCGGCTTAGATGGGCTAAAGAACATAGACAATGGACACCTCAACAATGGTGTGCATACAATGGAGTGATGAGGCCCGATTCGAAGTTTGTGTTGGTGACAGTCGCAGTAGAGTTATTCGCAAAAAAATGAAGCATTCCATGTTGACTGTCTGAAGAGAAAAGTGAAATTTCCAGCATCCATTATGGTCTGGGGCAGTATGTCATCAAAGGGAGTAGGAAAACTTCATTTTATTGATGGAAATGTGGATACAAACAAATATTTGGCAATTTTAGAAGAATCGCTTTTACCAGTGATGGAAGAATGTTTGACATCCGGCCAAGATTTTAGGTTTCAGCAAGAAGGTGCAGCGTGCCATACCTCAAAAAAGGCTATAAAATGGATGGAAGAGAATAATGTACCACTTTTGAAATGGGTTTCTAGCAGTTCAGATCTGTCACCTATTGAAACTTTGTGGCACGAGATTTAAAAGGTTCTACGACAACATCCTGCTCGTACAATCACCGAACTGAGACAAAAGCTTCAAGAATTATGGGATTGTTTTACACCAAATTTTTGCCAAAACCTGCTTAACACTATGCCCCAAAGAATTTCAGCCGGAATAAAAAGTAATGAGATGTTACCCAATGGTAATCTTTCAATTGTTGCTTTGTTAGCTTCGCGCATTTATTCGCACATTGTCTATTAGTTCAGATGTTCTATTAGTTATAGGTCTAAGTGATTTCAAATATGTATTTTTTATGACTAGAGTGTAACTAAAATGTTTCTGAGAAAATAAATTGTTTTAGAAGTAAATAGTTTCGTCATGTTTAGTTTATAAAGGCATATTCTGGTACAAATTTTGAAGTGGGCCAACTGACGTGGGAAGGGGCTCGTATAGGTTAGCTTTATATTATTGAGGTTCTCCATCGAGAAATAGAAATACTGTTTATTAAACGTCCAAAAAACGGTTTTCCTTACATTCTGTTGCGGTTAGTGGCATTTTTGAGGATTTTTCTGGATGTAAATGTTACGGCAAATTGGAAATACAAATGATAATAATAATAATTTTTATTAACCTATCTATAAGCTAATAAATTCATTGACGTCGTAAAATAATTTGTCAAGTAAAAAATGTTTCAAGTGTTTTTCAAAGCTAGTAACGGACTGACTGCACTTATTATCTTCGGGAAGTCTATTAAAAATTGTAGGTCCTAACACATTTGGTGACTAGAACAATTATGTATGCAGATGGGTGTTTTGCCTAGTGTGGACTCCATTAATTTGGTTATTTAAAAGAAAATTGTTCTGGTTCGAGAAGATAAGGCCATTTTGAAATAACCACGATAAGATCAGTATAAGATATTTCATAAATAATTCTTTACAGCTATGCCTGGAGTCTACACCTGCTATAGATCTTAAAACCTTTTTCTGCCTTACAAACACTATCTGAGTTTATTGAGCAAAATGTTCTGATTGACACAGTCGAACGCCCTGCTCAGATCGCAAAATACCCCAACAGGGCACTAGCCTGCCTCGATAGAACAAATTATAGCCTCAAAAAACGAGTGAGTTGCAGTTATTGTTGATTTTCGATCCCTAAAGCCACTTATTCTTGGAGAGAATACATTTTCTGTCCAAGAATACTTCCAGCCTATCCAGAAAGCATTACTCGAAAATTTTCGAGAAGCAAGGGGGTACAGTAATTGGTCTATAGTTAACAGTGGTTGATGGATCGCCATTTTAATGTATTGGGGTGACTTTACCAGTTTTCAGAATTTGAGGGAATTTCCCACTACAAAATAAGATATTTACTAGGAACACTAGGGGCTTAACCACGTAAATTAATGCTCTCTTTACCAGGAAATTTGGCAAATCATCAGCTCCAGAGAAAGACTTGTTTCTAAGGTTTTTGTTGATGAGTTCCAAAAATTTTATCTCAGCGAAAGTATATGTACACGGTGTTTCAGTTTATTGTTGCATAACTTTAAGATTCGATAGAATTTTTAAAATTAATGCATAAAGTCTATATAAACATGGGTCGAAAAGTGCGTGGCTTCTGAAATACAGGGTGTTTAAATTTACTTTCTAAAATAGTTTTTTTTAAATATTTCGAACAATATTTGATGTATAACAGTGAAAATTGGTATACAAGGGTCTTTGGTACGACAAAACGAACCATGGGCATAGTTTTACTGTAGCCGCTAGATGGCGCTCTCTACTGTACCTGTAGTGTATTAAAATGACCGAAAAATTTTTCTTAGTGCAATTTTTTGCTTTTTGAATAAAAAAATGATTCTTCGCACTTTTCAACATAAAAAAGCTCTCTAGTGAATTTTCGTTATAGTTAGCTATTTTTGAGATATTTCTTTTTTTAAGGTTCGATGCATTTTTAATTATTTATGATAAAATAACGTTAAAAAGTCAGTATCTCGATAATTTTGAGAAGTAGGCTGTGCCTGCAAATATTTTTGAAATTGAAAGCAGAATAAGGTTAAACGTCAATTAGTTGACAGTTTGTTTTGTTCTCTGTTGGAACCTGAAACGTTTTTTGCAATTGTGAATGCACGAAATTTAGTTTCTTTTAACTGTTTTTTTTTTGTAAGTTTTATAAAAATGCCATTTTTATTCTCCAATCAAGAATTAGCGGATATTCATTTTGTGTATGGCTTTGTAAATGGAAACGTGGCATAAGCAGCCAGAGAATACGCACGAAGATTTCCAAACAGACGACATCCAACTCGCTCAGTATTTGTAAGAGTGCTTCGCCAAATAATTGAAAATGGTTTTGGAAATCTCCAAGGGGTCAAAACATAAATGTTCGTCAGCGCAGATTTACCGGTATGATTCTGCGTGAGTTTGATAGAGATCCGACCACAAGTGTTAGGAGAGTTTCTGGTGCCTTGAGAATTTCAACAAGCCATGTTCTCCGTGGTCTTAGAAATGACCATAGACGTCCTTACCATTTGCAACATGTGCAAGGACTACAGCCAGGGGACGGAGAACGAAGAATCACATTTTGTCAGTGGATTCTTGATAGAACTGATAATAATAGGGAGTTTTTTTAAGTAACGTTTTATGGACCGATGAGTCATGCTTCACTAAACGTGGAGTGGTGAATTTACATAATCAACATATTTGGTCGCATGAAAATCCTCATGTAGTTCGGGAAAGAAATTTTCAGCATGAATTTAGTGTGAACGTGTGGATTGGTATCTACCGTAATCGACTATTTGGACCCTACCTTTTGCCTGCAAGGTTAAATGCTGCTACCTTCTTGGAATTTTTAAAGGCTGAACATGCAAATATGTGGGATGATGTTATGTTAGATTTAAGAAGACTGGCCTGGTTCCAGCTTGATGGTTGTCCAGCTCATTATTCGAGAATAGTTAGAAAATGGCTGGACGAAAAATATCCAGAAAGATGGATCGTCCATGGAGGACCAGTCGCCTGGCCTCCACGATCCCCTGAGCTAAATCCATTAGATTTCTTTGTGTGGGGATTTCTAAAATAAAAACTGTACCAGACCCCCGTAACTACAAGAGATATGCTAATAGACATAATCAGGAATGCGTGTGATGAAATAAGGCCTTATTTGAATAATGCTATACCACGTTCGATCATTCGTAGATGTAAATTGTGTATTGAACAATTGGGTTTACATTTCGAGCAACTGCTTTAGATTTTGTATGTTTGTCCTAACTATCCAATATCATTTTAGTTGTAAATAATTAATTTAATTTGTTAAAAATAATATTGGAAAATTAAACAAATTAATATTCTGTTTTTTCTGTTTATTTGGAGTTAGGAATTATTGCTGTGTTTAAAAACACAATCTAAACGATCATCTTAATTACTTGTAATGCCCAAATCGAAAATGTAAAAAAAAATATTATTTTCCCATAAATGATTAAAAATGCATCGAACCTTAAAAATCGAAATATCTCAAAAACGGCTAACTATAACGAAAACTCACGGGAAAGCTTTTTTATGCAGAAAAGTGCGAAAAATCAGTTTTTTTATTCAAAAAGCAAAAAATTGCACTAAGAAAAAATTTTTGGTCATTTTAATACACTACAGGTACAGTAGAGAGCGCCCTCTAGAGGTCGTACCAAAAAACCCTTGTATACCAATTTTCACTGTTATACATCAAATATTGTTCGAAATATTTAAAAAAAAACTATTTCAGAAAGTAAATTTAAACACCCTGTATTTCGGAAGCCACACATTTTTCGACCCATGTTTATATAGACTTTATGCATTAATTTTAAAAGTTCTATCGAATCTTAAAGTTATGCAACAATAAACTGAAACACCCTGTATAATAATAGCTTACCTTTTGTATGTTGAGAGTCATTTTTAGAAACATTGTTGATAGCAGTAGCTATGTGATGCTTCTAAGGTTTCAACCCATACAACTCTTCTGCAATCAATTGCACCGATACTTCATAGTCCTTTGAATACAGGCGAAATTGGTTTTTTTCAGCTGTTATGTTTGATAAAAAGATTAGCTGACAAATTTATAGCATCTCCAAATGATGGACGTTTTTATTTAATATCAACAATGAAATTTCATTGTAAAGTCCGTCGACAGATTTTTTCTGCTCCATGGCCGATTTTTTGGCACGTCAGCAAGACCTTATGGCTTGTTATGAAGCTACGTTTAATTAATCTTTTTTTACTCAAAACCGTGATTGAAGGATATAGAGCAGAAAGGTATACAGGTTCTAGTACACAAATATTTAACAAGTAGCTCGGTGATAGATCGCTCTGTCCAACAAGAATTTGAGTTTCGTGAAGAGCCTATTTCTTTTCAACAATCACATTCAAGCTTCCTAATCTTCTAGACTGGTTGAAAATGACCAGGTAACTCAAATTGCAAAAGTAGGCTAATTTTTTTGTTATGTTCCATCAGCTTCAGAAACAGTTTTTAACGGAAGCATTCTTCGGAGTGGTTAGTACACCCAACTCCAGTATAAATTTGAACACGTTCTGGATGTAACTCAATAAATAACGGCTCTGCTGGATTTGAAAGACTTCGCAGATCCATGAGAAGGAAATAAGAGGATTACATTCTTCTTGTAGATAGTAACTTTGAACAGTTTTTTATATAACAGAATACGTCGCAACTTATTTATTCTGACGAAATTTACTCGCTCTGCGTTTCCGAAAGGAAGCGGTTTTCTGCAAAACAGTCGATGGTCAAGCTAGTTTAGAATATCACCTTTGTTGCTGTACTACAGGGTGTTAATGAAGTATGTAGACAAAATTTAACCATCGAATCCTTGGTCAATTTGAAAACGAAATTTCCATATGAACATGGGTCCGCAACGGCTTTGTTTTCAAGCTAGAGCATATTAGCACTAAAAGAAATGACTCATGTTCATATGAACTTTTAGTCTTCAAATTGACCAAGGATTCGATGGTTAAAGTTTGTCTACATACTTTATTAAGGCGGCTTCGACACTGTGAGTTTCAGTCCATTTACAAGGGTTTAGCTGCTTCGAAACTGACACTCCATTTTTCAATATTTTTGAATGAAATTCATACAGTATGTTCAGAAGATAATTCCCCAGGGTGCTATAGGAGCACTTTTTGAAATTTTGTTTTTGCACAAGTTTTATGATGGGTTGAAGTGCGCACTTTTTCTGTTCAACTTCGCGATTTTTTTAAAAAGAATCTAGTGAAAAAAATGAAAAAGTGACTCTATAGCACCCTGTGGGGTTTTGTTTTCAGCACACTATGAAAATTTCAGTGAAAAATATCAAAAAATAAAGCGTCAATTTCGAAGCGCGCAAACCTCTACAAATCGTATTTTGTACGAATTTTGTCTACTGTTTCGTGCTGCCAACCCAAGCGTTGCGGCGCAATGTACGGACTAAGAAAGGACGTATTCAGATAATTTGGTGGCACTATTTTATATAACACCGCATAGATAAGTCGTTCTGCAAATAGGTACTCATGATCGCGATCGCTGATACTGCCCGATTTTTAAGCCGTTTTACTTCCCACGCCTGTGGCGAGGAAGTATTGTACTGCTCCACACTATTGTTGACCTCATCATGAATTAAACTCACTGCATTCGTAATTAAAATGGTCGCATACGACCTTTTAAAGTCCATTATCAACCTTGATAAAAAAAGGCACTCAAGAACAATCACACCAACAAGAGTACAGCACAACAATTCAACAATACGATATCGACGCACAGTAACAAGGGGAGAAAAATACTAAATGATCACTTTCTGAGTACCACAATAGGAAAGGATATACAGGCTAGATCGCTAATCGAAATCCGACTCTATTATAAAATTTTACCTTGGTATGCACCCGCAGTCGTCCTTTCCTCTTTTAAAGTAGCGCCGACGACCGTCTAGGACCAGCCCACCCTCGTTTCCTTTTCACCCCCCCCCTTACCTCAGCAGATGGTGCTCCTGATTGTAGGAGCCCCGTTAACACCTTGTATAAAAGAATTTAGCGAAATAAATGTTTGCAAACAATGTCAGAGGTATCCAGATTTGTTTATTATTATCTTTTATTCAAACAACAGAAGTGGTATCAACGACGCGTCAAAAGAAGCGTAAATCCCTACCCTACCTACCCACTTTAAAATTCTAATTCTTTCTTTGATCTCGATAAAGGTGGAGATTCGGTGTTCGAAAGGTGATATTTGCCGATACGTATAACATCATTACTTTATTCATACCTGAGGTATGTAAACACTTCATATCTTTTATTTGGTGTTGTTTTCTGTCTCTGCGATATTTGACCGGATTGCTGTGTTAGCATATCTCATTATCTATTGTTCGTTTGTAATGTGAGATTTGCGAACTGTAAGCTTACGTTAATATATTTCTAATTCTGTTTAATGATAATGGTAAACATTTGCAGCGTTTCACTTTCTTTTGAATTGCATTATTACTAGTAAACACTGAACAGCTCATACGTACAAGTTGAGATTATGGTTATCGGTTTATCATACAAAAAGTTTGTGGATGTTGTCTACTTATTATTTTTCGGTCAAAAATGCTGTCACATATTTTTTTATAAAATACCGTAAATAGTTGATTACTTAGCAAGACGACAAACTGCTGTTCTTCCTAAAATCAAAAATACATTTACATATAAAATGTAAAAAGCCTTTACAAATTAAAGTTATGGATACCAAATCAACCAAGGCTACAAATCCATAAATTTGTAGATATCAAAAATCAATATGATATTTGATAATAAAGTGATGCAAATTTATATGTTTAACTAACATACTTATAAGAAATTTGTTATGTTCATATAATTCAAGTTCGGTTAAAACTCAAGCCGTTTTTATTTAGACGAAAACTTTGTAGTTAGATCAATAAACATTATTATTATTATCCTTCGATTTGTTATTTTTTTTCGTGAATTTAAGATCTGCTTGTTCAATAAATTATCAGGATCATGAACAGCCTTGACTAGCGTTAGATGCGAAACGGCGTTTCTTTACACCTGCTAAATATTAGTGTATTTTAATTTCTCATTGATAGCTTTCAGTCTAGTTGTCCCAATAACTTGAGTTATACCGCTTACTAACATGGGTAACACAAATATCACTTCTAACACAAATCATCAACAAAACCGCCTATTTGCAGACGATTCCGTGAATCCGACGGTACCGCCACCGATACCGAGGACAGCACCCGCCTAGACTTCGATGCAGGTTCCTCCCCTGCCTCCTCAGACGGGCTTCTCCATCCCTCGCCGGTACCACCCTCCTCAAAGCACATCGAAGAACCCTCGAAACAACCCTGTCGTACCTGTGGCCAAGCGGCAAGTAAACAAGTATGTTGCACGTGTCGTACTTGTGGCCAAGCAACCGCCACACCGCAGTACATCCCGATTCCCGTACCGGTACCAATTCCGTTCCCTGTTCCGGCTGATACGTTGAAACTGTACGACGCCAGGATTCGTTCGTTGCCGCGTGCCGTTTGGCCCTACCTCAATGCCATGCTGACCGGCAGTTCCGCGACGCGCTACATCGAGGCAGTACCCATGATCGGCGAAGCCACGTTCTCGACCGACGAGCCGAGCTACGACTTTACCGATTTCTTGCGGAATGATAAGCACGCGATGCCTGTGCCGGCGGCACTTCGGTCACAGTACGACTTGAGTGCTTCTATAAACGTTGAAAAAGTTAGCTCGAAAGAAGCAGGAAGCTCACAACCAGTACCTACCGGAAAAGAAGCTGAAGAGGAGGTAAAATCTAAAGAGACTAAGTACGACTTGAAGGCTCTTCAAGATGTTAACGGATATTTTCGTACTGAAAAGCAAGATCAAGCCTCAAACCACGACTCCTCACAAGTTAAGGAAAAGCAGTACCATGACCACAATAAATCATCTGGTCGAGAAAAGGCAAAACATATGAAACATAAAGAAAAACAGCATCACGATGATGGAACAGTATCACAGCCAAGTGCAAGTCAGTACGATGATAAAAAAGTAGTACCCAAAGAAGCTTTGCGCAAGACTCGTGATAGATACGAGTCAACATCTGACTCTAATGATACCGACAATGTGTCACGACGTTACAATCCAATGTCGAATCTGGATGTACTCAAGAATCAAAAGTACGGTGTGAATGTGCCTTCTAAGGTGACCGGACACCTTCCAGATGAAAAAAATCGACCAAGTCCCTCATCAGTGAATCCTAATGTATCAGCAACTCCCGAAACCAGCTCAGTGGTACCAGAAAGAGTCACAGGTCACTTGCAAAGCGAAGAAAGGCGGTACCGAACTTCTTCGGACTCCAGTGGACTCGTTGATTCAACACAGCGCAAAAGATACGACTCAGAACCTAGCGAAGGAGATGACTCGCATGTGGTGCCTCAAAGACGCAGGAGGTGCGACGCAGAAGTGAGCGGCTACTTAATGTGCGAACAAAAGCATTACCGAGCATCTACCAGCAAAACCACTGCTCCAGAAAGGCTGGGAGGACGAAGCAGGTATGACTCAGAACCAAGCGAAGGACAAGAAATAAGCGGGTACTTGCAATGTGAAGAGAGGCAGTACCATTCATCGAGCGAGTCAAGCAGTGAAAGCGTGAGTGAGAGCGATGAGGATAGAGGGAGACAGGTGCGCGTGAGAAGGGTGTATACGGTAAATGGAGGAGAGGGAGGTGAGGGGAGGCAGAGTGATGACGCGCTACCGGAGAGCAGTAACATCAGCAGCGAAGGGGAGATGGAAGGCGGTGATACTGGAAGGTTAGTACCACGATTTTTGTTTTGGTATCACATCTAACGTGTAGGCACATTGGGAAGAAGCGATATGAAGGAAACAGTGTCATTTGCACGTGTCAAGCCCGACACGTCGCTTTCCTTCCCACCGTTCAAGTGTTAGGCTGTCGTTTGATTATGTGTAATGAAACCTAGCAGAAAAATTTTGCGTCGCTTCTCGTCGCTTTCCTTTTCCTCAATGAGCGTGAATGTTTACACAGGAATAAAGATTACCTAAGAGGTCTTCCTGCAGAGATGCAGACTCCTGAAGAGCGGCACCGGAAATTAATTTCTTTAGTAACTTATGTATGTTTCCGCGTACTTGTACAACTTTTTTCAATGGCACACCAGTTTTCAAAACATAGGGCGAAAAATTCAAGGAGCTATTCATTGGACATGGACACTTTTCGAATTATTGCACTGTTTCGGGGATACATGTCCTTAAAGGACACTAGGGAAAACAACTTGTTTAGTTATGCAGAAATCGTTCAACCCTAACGTAAAATGCTTCATTTTTTAAAGCTGGTGAAGTAATGATCTAAATATAGTTTTCTTAGAAAACGTACTCTCTGTCTAAAAGATATATCGTTTAATTGCGATAAAAGCATCGCTTTCTAGTACTTTGTATCAATTAAAATACTGATGCTTTATCGATACCAATTTCATTAATATAGCAAGATCTTTCCAAAAATATTTTTGTGGGTCATTATACTTGTATAGGATGTAATAAATTTAGAAATATTGTATTGGAGCTGGTGTCCCTGGTGGTCTAAAGGATTTAAGTGTCTTTTAGAGACACCAACACGTAAAGCGCCAATTGACCATTACGCTGTCAAAATTTCGTTGAATGATAAATGACCGTACAGATGGTATTACAAATTTCCAGTGGCGCCTTCTAATGACCTGCTTCTGAGAAACGGGGCAGTATTTTTGTAATCGCCAGAAGATGAGCTAGTATTAGAATAGCGTTTTGTACTGCAAACCATCAGTTTCTTTAAAAATGACCTAAGAGTCCTCAGCCGTCCGTCGCAAATCGCAATAGTAGCACTTCTACCAAATTCGAGCTCTTTATAATTTGTTATGTATTTTCTGAAAGAACCTCACAACGTTTAAAAAACCAGTTGCTTTGACACAATTTTTTCGACCTTCAAACTATTTTCAGTCTAATCTGGAGTAATCGTTCTCATTTTCAGGCTATCCCACAGCTCTATAAGAGAATACGACGACGATATGTCCTCATCAGGCTCAGCCGACACTGACACTGACGACACTGGAACTGTAGCGGACCAAAAGCCCAAACGCTTCTGCAGAGTGTTTGTCGTTAATAAAAACCAATCTTCATCCTCTTCATCCACTTCATCTAGCAGTGATAGTGATTCCTCAGACAACAACACTGACACCGAACTTGATTGTACTGTGGTGCTCAACTACGTAAAACAGATCGATGAAAGCTCTGGTGAAATAATCCCGGTAGAAAAAGAGCAGCAACCTTTAGAAGAAAAGGAAGTTAGCCCGGAGATAGCTTCTCCTTCCAAGCAAGGAAATTACCGTAAGAAACGGAGAACATGGGATAGGAGGAATGAGACTAGACGAAATTCTAGCCCTCTGTCATTGAAACAGCTGGATCTGGTTAAAGGCGAACCACAAGAAGACACTGCCTCTCAGGGTGTATCTTTAAATAGAATTACTAATACTGGCAATACCAATCTGAAGAGAGCAGTCAGTCTTAAAGACTTACTCGGAGATAAAAGAGTTAGTCCTGGCAAGAAAAACTCTTACAGCGATGAAGATATTGATGATGAGGTTTCAATGTCACATGAAGCTATCTCAAAGGATTCTGAAAAAGATAAGAAAGACATGAAGACCTTTGAGAGTCAAACAGCAGAAATACTTATTTTAGATGATATTATTTCTACGAAAGGTAGCTTAGTTGACACAACTGGATTGAGTACTGATAACAGTGTTGTAGGGTCAAGCGTTGATCCCGATACCACTGAAACAACTATTGGTGATATCATGAAGGTAGAAGAATCGGGGAAAGGCTTTCAGGGATCGAAGAGTGCCAGAAGAAGAAGGAAAAGACGTAGCCTTAAGTCAGAGGAAAGTCAACATCGAACAAGTTCAGTATCTGAAAATAAAGATCAGCATGATCCTGAGCATGCTACAGAAGATAACATAGAAAGCAATGAAAGTGCAACAAAGGCGGCGATAATCACAGAAGCAGAAAGTTGTGATCTCCAAAATACTGTAGATGAATCAGTTGAACATACATCGCAAATTGTTGCAGAGAAGATAGAATCTAAAGGCTCATCCAACACAAAAAGGCGTAAGAGGAGACGTAATAGTAAACCGAAAGATACGAATCAGGACTCTAAGGTGATAGTTGACGAGCAAGGTGCAATTGAATCTGCTGCTGACCTAGGACAAGACATAAATGAAGAAAATGGTTGTGATATTGAACTACAACAGAATGATGGCTTGAAAGAAGCCGCTGCTCTAGATTTAGGAACAGAAGTCGTCGCTACCGCTGAAGGAAATGATAATAGTACAGATGGAAGCATTTTAGAAATTATTGGGTATATCGAATCAGTTGAAGGTACCACCGATCGTCTCAATGGGGAAACACAACCAAATGATGCTGACCATGCTACAGAAGATGTAACAGTGGCTAAAAGCAAATCCGAAAAGAAAAAGAGACAAAGAAAGAGGAGGAAAACTGGTGACTCGGAGGAGAGCAATCGTTGCAAGGAGACGGTTGAAGTAAATACGATCCCGGAGCCAGCAAATACACCACAAGAGCAAAAGTCCAGTGATAATGTGGCACGTGAAAAGATACCGGAAGTGAATAGTAGCTTAGCTATGGTAACAAGCGAAAGTCAGTATTTTGATTCTATTGAGGATGCTATAGAAAACAATGGGAGACCAACGGAAGAGCTAACAGTGGATCTTGATATAGAGTCTGCAGAGTCCAGTATAAAGGAGTCAATAAATGAAGCTGGTATAACCCTAAAAGCACTGAGTGATGAAACAAAAAAAAGAACACGGGATGATGAAGTGGATGTTGCAGGTATTGAAAAGGTTGTTGAAGATTTAGGAACTGGCAGCACTAGAAATAGAGAACATGATGGAGCACAGGTGTTTCCAGTGGTAAATGATAAAGAAGTAACGACTGCTGGAAGATCTGACGATGATAATTGTACAGAGGTTACTTCGGAGGTTATAGCGGCAGTGCCTGAAGATGAACGTGTTGTTGGCTGTGCTAAGCAAGTAATGAATGAAACTAGTACAGAAAATCCATCACTAAAAAGTATCTCGAGTAATTGTTCTGATATTATCGCGGAGGCAGTACCTCAATGTGAGTGTACTGACGGCAGTTCCGAGCCTACAAAGAGCGAAATTAATCAAGAAAATACTTGTGTAAAAAACCAAACTACTGGTGCTAATTGCACGGAATCCATCGAAGCGTGTGCGCGTAAAGCAGCGGTACCGGAAGCACCGTTGACGGAGTACGACTCGTCGAGCCCGAACCTGAGCGACGCGAGCGCGGAATCGCTGCACTCCAGTGACGGCGACGGAGAGGGCGTCGGTTCCACGGTACTCGGAACGAACAACGTGGTGGGAGGCTACGCCGTAGCTGAACAACGTCCAGGTGCGCAAAGGTACACCAGTCTGGTGATGATCACGCAGCAGTTCGCGACAGCTGCGGCTCAGGCGTCGGCGCCGGCGGTCAACGTGCTCGCCACTGGCGCTACGACTGTCGTAGCGGGAACCGCGGGCGCGCAGGGTGAAGTGGTCGTGGTGCGACACACCAATGCCGGAGGTCTAGTGAGGGCTGGGGGGTGTAGTGGTTGTGATAGTGCCAGTGATGTGGATATGTCCAGTGTAAGGGGTTGGGGAGATAAGGACAACGCAGGCATGAGGCAGAGAGGAGGAGGTGAGTCAAGCATGTCATTCATTGATTGTTTTTAGTATAGGTTAGTCTGTAAATGACACAAACCAAATTAGAGCCAGCACACATACAGGGTGGCGCATCATGAACGTTATGGTTTGAGTTATTTATAACGCATCTATTTTTCCGTATTTTGTGATTCTGTAAACAATGCTCGAGGAATTTGATATGAAGTGAATCAAAATCGTTAATTTTTTTTTTAAATTCTGTCCAGGAAACAATCCACTCCATGCACTAGCATGAAGCTAGCAGATGTTTATGTGAGACCTTATAAGAAAGGCCAGTTTTCACTAAAAGCGGTTAAATTTTAATAGCACTTTCTAACGAAAGCTGTGGAAAACTATCCGAAACATAGATTTTCAGGAACGCATTATTTGTCGAGGTGCCGATTTAAATTAGTCGCACATTCAAAGGAATTTACCGCGCCAGCGTTCTTCTTTCGAGGGTATTTTAAAGAGCATGTGTATACAGGGTGGCCAAACACGTGACGTCATAAAAAAAAATTAGATTCCCCACATCGAGAGGAACCCAAATCACCCCCATATATATGGTCCGATTTTGTTTAGTTTAGGAGTTATGATTTTTTTTTCGGATTTTTCGAGAATTTTTGAGTTCTGTGTTTATTTTTACCATAACTTCGTTAATAATTGTGATAAATGCCTGCTTTTTTCACGATTATGTAGCTAAGACCTAAGGCTTAACTATCATATAATCATTCAAGTCATGTAACTAATACTACTTTTTAATTTTTTTCAAAATCTTCGAACATAACAAAAAAGTAAAAAAGTGCAACAACTTTGAACGTTTATAAAAAATTAAAAAAACATGTTCTTACTATTCGTAAGTATCTTAAAAAATTCCTTACGGTATCAGCTATTTACCGTAAAAATTTCATCAACCTAGCTTTACTACATGCTACCGTAATTGTGGCTCAAATAGAACCGAACCCAAAATTGGATAACCCTCTGCTCAATAGAAATTGTTAGTTTCGGAAAAAAAATTTGCAAAAACCACAAAAACACGTTTGATTTTTACTGAACAGCAGATTATTATTCATTTATGTTATTTACAAGAGGTTTTCAAAATGTCTGCCTCTAACAGAAATGCACAGTGTACACCTACGTATGAAATTTTGTTTTAAATCTCTAAATGCTTGTGTGTTGTTTTTCAACACATGTGTCGCTTCTTGAATTTTGTTCCTCAATGAATTTTCATTTGCACATTCTTGGGCGAATGTTATGTCTTTAAAATATCCCCAAACAAAAAAATCAATGGGGTTGAGGTCAGGGGAGCGTAGAGGCCATCGTATCGGTCCGTTTCGTCCGATCCATCTGTCTGGGAACCTTTCGTTTAAGTAGTTTCGCACGATCGTTGCGTTGTGGCATGGTGCACCATCATTCTGGAACACCATGTTCCGTCTGGCTTCCAGGCTTGAATCTTACAGCAATAATGGTAGGCTATTTTCAAGGAAGCTTTTGTAGGCTACCGAATCCAACCTTGACGGCAGTTCAAATGGACCGATAAATTCCATATTGAATATTCCTGACCACATGTTCACACTAAAACGGTGTTGAAATGTCGACGGCCTTGACTGGTGGGGGTTTTCAACAGCCCAAGTATGTAAATTATGGATATTGAATATCCCTGTCCTTTCAAAACGTGACTCGTCAGTCCATAAAATTTTATCAAAAAATTCGGGATCCTCTCGTTGTCTTCGCAGCATTGTCTCGCAGAAATCCACTCTTAACTGGTAATCTGAAGGCATCAACGCTTGAACTCTTTGAACATGATAGGCATGATAACCTTCTTCATGAAGAATATTTTGTATCGATGTTCGTGGTATTCTAAGGTTTTGTGCCATAGATCTCGTACTCGTTGAGGGATTCCGGTCCGGTCAGGAATATTCAATATGGAATTTATCGGTCCATTTGAACTGCCGTCAAGGTTGGATTCGGTAGCCTACAAAAGCTTCCTTGAAAATAGCCTACCATTATTGCTGGAAGATTCAAGCCTGGAAGCCAGACGGAACATGGTGTTCCAGAATGATGGTGCACCATGCCACAACGCAACGATCGTGCGAAACTACTTAAACGAAAGGTTCCCAGACAGATGGATCGGACGAAACGGACCGATACGATGGCCTCCACGCTCCCCTGACCTCAACCCCATTGATTTTTTTGTTTGGGGATATTTTAAAGACATAACATTCGCCCAAGAATGTGCAAATGAAAATTCATTGAGGAACAAAATTCAAGAAGCGACACATGTGTTGAAAAACAACACACAAGCATTTAGAGATTTAAAACAAAATTTCATACGTAGGTGTACACTGTGCATTTCTGTTAGAGGCAGACATTTTGAAAACCTCTTGTAAATAACATAAATGAATAATAATCTGCTGTTCAGTAAAAATCAAACGTGTTTTTGTGGTTTTTGCAAATTTTTTTTCCGAAACTAACAATTTCTATTGAGCAGAGGGTTATCCAATTTTGGGTTCGGTTCTATTTGAGCCACAATTACGGTAGCATGTAGTAAAGCTAGGTTGATGAAATTTTTACGGTAAATAGCTGATACCGTAAGGAAGTTTTTAAGATACTTACGAATAGTAAGAACATGTTTTTTCAATTTTTTATAAACGTTCAAAGTTGTTGCACTTTTTTACTTTTTTGTTATGTTCGAAGATTTTGAAAAAAATTAAAAAGTAGTATTAGTTACATGACTTGAATGATTATATGATAGTTAAGCCTTAGGTCTTAGCTACATAATCGTGAAAAAAGCAGGCATTTATCACAATTATTAACGAAGTTATGGTAAAAATAAACACAGAACTCAAAAATTCTCGAAAAATCCGAAAAAAAATCATAACTCCTAAACTAAACAAAATCGGACCATATATATGGGGGTGATTTGGGTTCCTCTCGATGTGGGGAATCTAATTTTTTTTTATGACGTCACGTGTTTGGCCACCCTGTATAAGTAATTTCCTGTCTAAAAGACAGTGCTCGTAAGGAAATCGCAGACGCAAGTATGCAATGTTGTAGAACGCGCTATGGAGGGATATGAGTACTGGAAGCATAATGTGACCGATATTCAAGATATGTTATCATTCATATCTGATTTTGCATTTGTAGGTATAGCATATTTTAAAACAGATTCATCTCAATTATGAATTAAATAAAAATGTCATAAAGTATTTGAATCATAACGTTAACCTTGTGTCATCCTATATATTGAGGGATCAAGGGCAAAGCATCAAGTAGAAATTTTCCAACGTCCAGAACGCACTGAAAATAGAAATTCCATGCGTATTACCACGAGCATCTTTCGGCATAGCGACGCATACCTTACCACAGCATATTTTGGTACACACCGTCAGATACCGGTGCATGCCTTTCATCACGGTAAAATCTCCATCGGGTTTCTCGATACCATGGAGATGAATTTGCTATAGGGCAGGAAGCACATGAATTCAACAGAATGCTCCCAAGTGCACCAGAACCTACTAGGCTGTGGTAAGATGGCCAATGGGACACTATGCCGATAGATACTCGCGGGGCACAGTATAACTTCAACAGTTTGCGCTGATGGGCAGAGAATCCTCCTGTATGCTTTTCACTGCCATCCCCTAGTGTAAGCCAGATCATTGATGAACGTATCCTACCTGAAGATAGGCAGCCATAGTTTGTATTTCAGCACTCAAAAAGTAACCTGAAAGACGGTGGCAGAACACAAAAAGAAATGAAACCCTCTTTGAGCAATTCTATTTCTGCCTCATAGATTGAGCTAGGATCTTCAACCCCTCTTTTTAGAGTCTATCTTATGCCTATTTCAATATATTATTGGACATTAGATACTTTTTTGGACTCCCGAATACAGTATGCGGTTATCTCTAGGAAGAATACGTCTATCAGTGGTCAGATCTGAGGATTTTGAGCTGTGGCTAATTCGCTTAAGACCATATTTCAACTGGATATTCCATTTATTTTATCTGCCTATGTCGAAATAATTGTCTGCCAAACTATACTAATTGTATAACCATGGTTACAGTTACCTGGTTATTTATTCATATACTATAATATTTACCAGGCTTTGCAGGTTGTCAACACTGAGTATTGATAAGAGTTTATCTACATATACAATGTATGACAAAGCTTGTCGATAGCGAGTCGTATCGAGGGGCGCTAGCTTTATCTCCGAGATTTTTTCGTGCAGTATTATGCAATCATACTTCGAACTGTGTTACTTCGATAGAGAGACCATTATTGTGAACATTGGTATATTAGAAATGAAAAATTAATAGAAATTCACTGTCTGGGGAAAGATATACCAGGATGAATGTTTCAACCAACGGAGTATTGAGGCAACTTTGCCGTATATCCTTAACGAGTCATTTTAATTGCCAGGAAGAAATATTAATAATACTAGTAAATAATTATAACTGTACGAAAAAATATATTATGTATTTTATTGTCTCCATAATTCATAACTAAGTTAATTAGTTCTGCCATATGCTGTCAATAATTTTAGTTCTCTTCATGAGCGTGTACAACCACAGATATACTACAAAATAGCTAGGAATAAAATGTAGCAATTATCATTGCTGCGGAACGAATTTTTTTATTAATTTTAGCAGTGTCTCAGCAATGGGAACTTAGTTTACGAAATGTTTCGAATAAATTCATCCATGAACACGGACAGATTCTGAGAATCTACTGTTCTAATCGCCTACCAACTAAAATGAAACAAATATACCTATTCGCAAAAAAATTACTATAGGGTAAGGATATGCGATGAATATGTTAATGTATGAAAACACACTGACTCCAAGCCCAACTCTAGCATACACTTCCAAATCATTGTAGCGTGGTATCACCAATTATAAACTAAACAGGAAGTCTTCAGCTAAACACCTGTCTTTTTATCCATCATTTGTTTTGACTGAAAATTAACATTCGTTCATGCTTAAAAATAATAGTCGACCAGTCTTATATATTCCATACTACATACTACCTTATAACTCCTGAA